GGAGCCATTCCCTGTCACACTGCAATCCTTCCAGCCTCTGTCATTCTTGGAGAGCATGGAAAACTCGTGGAGCAGTGGCCAGGACGGCATAGTTTCAGAGAAAACTGAATTTGAGGTCTTGCAGTACATCTACACTGGCTGGCCACCTGGAGCCCACCTGCTTGGGGCCTGGACGCACATACTTTCCTCTTCTCTATCTTTCTGTCTGTCTCCTTCTATTTATAACTCATTGCTGGATGCCTTCGCTGCCCACCCAGCTCTGTGAGAAATGGCTGATGTTAAAATTCAGGAATCTAGTGTTGCTTTTGACTGAATCTCTTAACTATGAATGGCTTACTTTCTGTTTCAGTGACTGCAGTCTTTTTGCTACAGTGTTTAGATTTAGGCATATTGTGGCTATGACGGCATCCTTGTAACATACTGCATGTACATAGTTGTGCTGTAAAATAAATGTTTCTGTAATGCCATTTTTTAAAAATGTTTTTAGCCACATAAGCTGTCCTGGGGTTGGTGTCGGTCTGTCAGTAGATCCGCTTTGGTTCAGACAGAAATATATCAATAATTATTACATGGATTGTCAGGAAATTTGGTACGGCCAGTCATGGTCCCCAGAGGATGAATCCTTATGACTTTGGTGATCCTCTGACTTTTCTTCCAGCGCCACCAGCAGGTCAATAATGTAACTTTTCCAGTGGAACATGTTAACATCCACTCGATGGATCAGTGCAAAAGTTAGTACAGACATTCATGGCTCCTAAACGACTTTGGTGATCCTCTGACTTTCGTCTAGCGCGAAACATGCGGTCCAGGGGCCAGAGCTGGCCTGTCAAAGGGTCCAGTCCAGCCCTCTAGAGGACTTCGCACCACTAATATTGATGCACTGTGCCAGGTTTCAAGAGCAATCAAAACAGTGAGTAGATACTTGATGTAAAATGCTGCCTCAGAGGCTTTTCCACCCTGACCATAATACAGTTTTCTGAAATAACAATGAATACTCTCTGTGGTCACATTTAAAGATACTGAACATTGTGCACAATGTTGCCAACCAGCAGCTTCACTACAAAACAATCTGTATCAGACATCTGTATTAAAACAATATGGGTGGAACCCTGCTGCTGAGGCACTGACAAAACTATAGACTGTAAATGGTTTGTAAAGCAGGAGACGACTTAACCTGCTACAATAGCTTCTACTTTAGTGGGAGTGGAAAGTTATGAAACAAAATGCACATGTAATGACAGTGAGTAGTGACTGACTGAATGTGGAAAAACTGAGACATACTGTTGAATTTGCGCATATTTTTCTTTAGGATAAGCTGTTCATCATATGTTTTGTGAATCTATTTGTACTTGTTTACACTAAGAACAGGAAGGATTAAGGGGGATGTTATTTATAGGTTAACATGCAATGGTTTTATTGGTCTGACCCACTTGAGGTCAGATTGGGCTGTATGTGGTTGTGAACTAAAATGAGTTTGACACTGCTGCTCTAGCGCCATCATGACATTAATATTTTTGGTTTTGGGTGAAATGTTTCCACAACTATTGCATGGATTGCCTTGACGCTTGTTTCAGACATTCATGCCCCCTCTCAGGATGAACTGTGATCCCTTATTCCTCTTAAAGTGCAATCGTCAGGTCAAAAATCTTGTAATACTTTGGGTTATGACTGATCGTCTGCAAAACTTATGACATTCTCATCATGTGTACCTGTATTAGGTATTTATTTGTATTTACTAGCCAACATTACAGTGCTTACACAAACTGAGATTGTGAACTTGGTAAACATTACACCTGTTAAACATCAGCAGCATGTTAGCATGCTGACAATTAGCTTAAGCTCATGCACTTGTGTTATTTAATGGTGCATAATCTGGATGCAAGGGGTGAAGCAGTTGTATATAACATGAATTTAATCAGAGCAGGGCTTGACTTTTTTCCCAAGGAGCACATGTGCTCCTAAGTTGAAAAAGTAAGGAGCACACAAAGAACTTTAGGGGCACAATGTAAATTGATCAAATAATGCGTTTTCCGTAATAAACGTGATGCAAATAGACATTTACAAGCAAAATTATTTGTATACAAAATGTACAGAATGGTAAAATCATCAAGTTTTGAAAAAGTATTGCAATTTAATTTTGTCTTTAATGTTATTATCTTATATATATTATCTTTGCAATATGATTATCTTATATAATGTTATTACTATCCTAAAACATTCTCCAGGTCCTCTGAAACTCTGCAGGACTTATTTCCACCCTGCCCAGCAGTGGTACCGTGGCGAACGGTTCCTAACTGCAGGGAGAACGGAGCAGGCTTCCCCGGAGTTCCGCCGCTTTTCCTGGTCCCTCTTCTCCGGCACACTTTGACTTATTCCCACCTAGCCGACAGTCTGGCCGTGGAGAACGGTCCCTAACTGCGGGGAGAACGGAGCAGGCTTCCCTGGAGGTCCGCCGCTTTTCCCGGTCCCTAGTCTCCTCCACACTTTGACTTATTTCCACACTGCCAACAGTGGGACATATATTCATTGTGCCGACAGTGCCTTGGAAAACCGCCCATAACCGTGTCACACGGGGAAGAGGGAAGGCGGCTGGAGTTCCTCCAACATTTGTGGTTAGATTATCATATTTTTTTATTGACAAAAACATAGGCTGCTTTGGCTGTTTTTTTTTTTATGCGCACATGTGCCCCTAAATATTTTTTACAGTTCGCACACACCTATTTTTAGTCACAAATGCAAGTGAAATGCTTGCACTGTCGAGCCCTGCAGAGCCTTGTCATCTCTTATTTTCTGGGAGATGACACTTCGCAGATTCGGGAAATTAGAGAGGCAAGCATTTTTCTGCTGAGAGTAATGCAGTAAGAGCAGTAGTGTCATTGAAGCAAATATCGTGGGACATTTAAGCAGCAGAACCAAAAACTGTAGTGGTAAACTTGACAGAGGAATCAGAACTAAACTTTCAGCTTCTGAAATAATCACTGAAGTCACACTGCTGCTTGTGCATTTGGCCTAATGCGCACAGCATGTCTTAATGGGGAGTCTGACAGCAGCTCTGCTCTGCTCTCTGCTATGTTCACATTTTAACAAATGTCATTATACTTTCCCTGATTAATGATGTATTATTTTACCCACCTGCAACCCATCCATGCATCCCTGTGTGTGTAACAAGCTGAGTAAACACGTTTGGGACTTGCCTATGTAGGCGCATCTTACTAACTGGAAAATGCCCTTTAAATAGCAGGGAAATACTGTGCCATTCTAACTATAGACCAGGTTTTTGTTGGTCAGTGGCGCAGTTGCTTTCTGCAGCATCAAAATCGCAGTACACCAACAATGCGCCTGACCACACCTCATTTTAAGACCTACACACCTATGGGCACAAGTACTAGGGGTGTAAATCACCATGAGAAGTTAGCAGGATGAGATACTCGACCAAGCAGGTACCATTACATCGACAGCATTGTTCACATACAGCATGTGCTGTCTGTTGACCCGTATTTTCTCTGATCCAAAATATCTCCACGCTGCTGATTTATTCCTGATAAAATAATGCTATCCTCATCATCTTTCTCTTGGCTGCTTGCCCTGTTTGATGGTGACACAGACTTTTAAAATAAAAGTGTTTCCTAAAGATGATGATATAACTTTGCATCGACAAGATTGGATCGTTGATTATTTAATTGATATATCGATCCAGTTGTGGTGCCCTGTGCGCCACTTTCCACAGGTTGTAAGATAAGGCCCATATTCTCGGGCAGCTACAGACACAACACAAATGCTGCGTGGTTTTAAGAAGTAGCTGCTCACTGGGTATCCTGAACTGAGTCCATGTCACTGTTAAGACTGCTGCCTCTGCAGTAACTACTGAGTAATGAAGACGCTTAGTCACTGAAGTAGAAAACAGATTTAATATGAAAAAATGTATGATTTGGGCATTGTCATGTTTTGGTATTTTCAAGGCCTCAGTTCTTCACACTTGATGAAGATGAAGACCTTGTAGATGTTCCTGAGTCTCATAGTAAACAGTCTGGACCAAGGGTTACACACAATATTGTTTTTCCTCTTCCAAGGTGGTGTGATTAAACATGATTCAGTGTGACGTGGGATACGCTGCATAAGGCCTGGAGAATGTAATATTACTGTTAGTTTTTGGCATAACTCTGTCCATGTGCTGTACCAAGAGCCTCTCTGGCCAAACTTGTGCTGTAATGAACTTATATATTCCAGTAACTCAGACTCACTGAGCTCTTTTGACCTGAAGTGCAAGTTTTCCACATCCACTATGTTGTCTCTAAAATAAGATGTGTCCTTGTGGCCTCTGAGGAGTCCTGTTTGCTCTCAGGCTCCTATTTAAATTCTCTCCAGACGAAAGCTTCTCTCACAATAGAAGAGATCACCATGATTCAAGTTCACGTCAGCCTCAGACGTGCTGCCCTTACACCATGGAAACCAGAGGGAAGAGAGGGTTTTTAATCTCTTTTAAGTGTGGATGAAGTTACACATTAGGGTTTCAGAGGTATTTTAGGTTTCTGGAGGGAAAATTAAATTGTGGGAATATCTGCTCCAAATCCGTCCTCTCAAAAGATCAGCGACTAAATCTGACTCACCCTACAGTGAAGCAGCAGCTTGTGAAAACATCAGCGAGATAAAAATCTTGTCGACTTAAATCGGAATTGTCACCACAAAAGCCCCGGAGGTTGTTTGACTTGTAGACAACTGGGCTAATGTATTTTTCTCCCCTCAGCTCGTGTTAAGCTGTGTAAACTTAGAACGCCACAAGACTGGAAAGAGAGGGAGGAGAGGAAAGAGAGGGGAAAGACTTGGGGGTGGAGGTGTGTGTGTGTGTGTCTGGAAGTGGAAATGGGCAGCAGAGGAGGAGGAATGTGAAACATTTCTGATGCTGGTCCAGTGGCTGTTTACACGGTAGTCAGCCTGTGACATCAGAGTCCAGACTTTATAAATGTCAGCAGGCGCAAGAATGAACAGTTAGCAAACAGCGTCACACAGATTAGCGAGACAGACTGAGCTCCATCAGCAACACAAGCCCCCATGGATCGACTGCTGTGTGACTGTGTGATGATAGCTGTGGCTGTGCTGCTGTGTGTGGCTACACAGGTGAGGCCCGATCCTGCTTACTTACTGTCGTCTGTTCTCAATGAGATGATTATGTGGGGTGTGTGTGAGAGGGAGTGTGTGATTTGTCTTGGCTCACCTTATTGTTAGAAGACTGATAAATGTTGAGGAAATGTCTGCACAGGAAACCAAAGGCAGTCAGTGTGATCATTTATTCAGAAATCATAGTTATTCCATTGTATGTGTTTGGGAACATCCTCTTGTCTTGTAATGAAGAAGAGGAGAGTGATCATAGCCATCCTGTCTGGACAGAAATGAGATCACAGACAGCTCTAGATATGTAAATATGATAACCAGTGTGTCTACAAGTATCACACACTTCAATGTAATGCCTTTTAATAATTAATAATTAATAATTAATAATTTAACAAAATACACAAGTGATTTTTTGGACAAATAAGCATCGTAGGAAAGTATAAATCTAAGTATCTGGTCCTGTGCAGCGCGAGGGTTTATATAAGCATATGTTTATTAGACTGATTAAGGTTGATCTTACATTTTGCCAACACAGTGTTAGGTTCAATGGAAGGTTTAAAGAATTGTAACATCCGAAATATGAACTTTCACACAAAAGAACTGAAATAATTTAGACTTAGAAATTAAAAGATGGATCCATGTTATTAGATAAAATGTTTGTGACAATTAAGACCTCACCAATTCAAATTTAAGACTATTGAATGACTTTTGAGTCATCATATTTATAGATTGGATTTAAGACATTTCAGGACTTTTGTAAGGATCTGCACACACCCTGGATAAGACAACCAGGGCTGTTACGAACAATTTGAACTATTTAACTTATATTTTAATATCTGTTGATTATTTTTACGATTAACAAACGACTTACTGTTCAGTAAATTATCAGAGAATAGTGAAAAATGCTCATCAAAATCATGAAGTTGCTTGTTTTGTCCTATTAACTGTGTGAAAAATAGTTTTCTCTGTAATCATTGACTGATCATTTTAGCCCTATAGATAAGCAAATTAACCTGCAGACATAACTCTTATGACAAGGACACTTTTCTTTTCCACATTATGATCACCTTGATATTGTAAAGTTTAAAGTTGATTAAAAGTAAAGAAATGATGTGTAATGTCCTAACAGTGTATTTTGTAGATTTGTAATGCAGCTGCACTATGTTGTTGGGCAGTGAGTGAAAAGCATGCTTTATATAAAGTGTTATAAAGTAATAAAAGCATTCTTCTTCTCTGGTTAAATGAGACAGGGCTCGTCCAGGTCTCGGGTCTGTTTTGGCTCCACCAGATGCATGTTATTGAAAACAGTGGTTTGGCCTGACAGTGTTGGATACTGGCGTGAAGTTTCTGAGAATACCACTAATACTTTCTGTGCTCCTCATATGAAAATGAAGTCATGAGACTGTGACTGTGCTAATTACAGTGGTGATGGTGTGATTTCCTTTCTCATCCTCTAACCTCTTCCCGTGTGTTGTCCGTGCAGGTGTTCAGCCAGCTGTGTGACAGGCCCTGCCTTTGCCCCAGTTCTGTCCCCCAGTGCCCCTCAGGAGTCCCACTGGTGCTGGATGGCTGCCGCTGCTGCCAGGTGTGTGCCCGCCAGCGAGGTGAGCCCTGCACTGAGATGTTTCCCTGCGACAGCCAGAGAGGACTGCAGTGCGACTACAGCGCCAGCTTCCCTGGAGACGCTGGGGAGTGTGTCGGTGAGTGCCTCTTCTAACAGGCAAACAACCAGCCTCATGTCAGGGAGGAGGTGATAGGGCCTCAGTTAGTCTGCATGAGCGGAACAAACAGACATTTAATGTTTAAAGTCTGCTCAGCAGAGCGGGACGGCCTGCTGGGCAGTGGTGCTCTGCCAGAACTCTAAAACATTTCAACTTCTATTTCCAGGACTGCTGTTGACACATTTCCTCTAATGACTACCCTTTGAGCAGCATGATAGATTGCAGAGACAACACTCAAGGATTGAAAAACAGACTCCTCAGTTTCTCAGTAAAGAGGCCTGGTTTCCCATAAAACTACAGAACCATTGGCAGGGACAGCAGCTCATGTGTCCCCACCACTCTCTCTTATTTTCCTGTGCCGTGTCCCCCTGCATCCATCAACCCCCCCCCCACTCTTCACCTAATCTAATCCTTTCACTTCCTGATTAAGTTTCCCACATCAATCCAAGGTGCAGGTGTGGTGGAGAAAGTTAAGACGGCGCCTGTGCTGTGTGTTTCCTACAGGTCAGGAGGATCTGCGCTGTGAAGTCAACGGCATCACTTACCACGAGGGCCAGTCGTTTCAGCCCTCCTGCGACACTTACTGCCACTGCAGAGGTGGAGGGGTGAGCTGTGTGCCAGCTTGCCCTCTGAATGCCCGTCTCCCCACTCCAGACTGTCCCAACCCACAACATATCCGGCTACCAGGGAAATGCTGCAAGGAATGGGTGTGTGAAAACCTTGAGAACACGGTCATTCAGGATGCCATCACAGGTAAACCAGCAGATGCTTAAGATCTTTTAAGTCTTGAAAGGCATTGAATTCATTGATGTAAAAATTAGGCCTTAATTGGTATTAAAATGTCTTAAATCAGTCTTTTAAAAGTTGTAGTAACGCTAAGACATGGGACATGGGATTTTATCAATCGGTCTTTCTGACATTACGTTGTAAAATCTCAAAATAATAGGTAACTTTTTTTTTCTTTTTTCTTTTACGTCTGTATGCGAAATATGAAGTGACAGATTAGTTTAGCATAAACACTGGAAATAGTGGGAAACAGCTTCTGGTTCTGCCCATAGGTTACAACGTTTTCCTGCTAGCACCTCCAAAGCAGTGTTAATTTCGCTGACAAAAACAATGGCGAAAATTTTTCGTCAACAACCTTTTTTTTCCATGATGAAAACAAGACAATGACAAGCTAAAAATAGATCTTGATAATAAAAACCAACAATCTATGTTTCATTGTCATTGTTGAGACATGACGAAAATGTCAGTGGTGGACTATCGGACACTGAAAGCCGGGCTCGTAAGTGTCTTCAAATGCCACGTGAGCAACAGGCTGGTAAAGTCCAGTAAATAGTCAGTGCCAGGATGTTTAGCTAGCTGCTGAACGACAAGGAGGCAAGCAGCCACCAGACTTCACAACTGATCCTTGCAGGACTCAACTCAGTGCAGACTTGAGAAGGTTTCTGGGTTGATGCTGTTTGACGGGCAGGTAGGACGCTCAGTTATCTGTGAATGTAGTTGTGCTGTAAGTAAACAGTCTGAACTCAGCTGAGTTTCTTTGACTGAGCTGATAGTTTAGTTTTATTCACCAACTCTGTGAGAGGACACGAGTTTACATCTACGACAAATATGTTGCAGATTAAGAAGGAATTCAGGCTTTAATTAGGTTATTTTTTTGCTTGTTCTTGTCAGATCAATAAGTCAGAGTTTAACACGAACCTGGGTACAAATCCTGGTGGTCTCAGATTAGTTCTATGTGGTGTCAAAGTTTATGAGAGCATAAATAGAGATCAGTAAGTGTGTGAAGTGTGTGAGTTTTGATACAGTCTGTCACCTTGATGCTAATTTCTGATACATGAATTAGCCGAACTGAATTATAAAAAAACATATAGAAGACATATTGACTTAAAGTTGACTAAAACATTTTGAATTTTCGTCGACTAAAACTATTACGGATAAAAGTAACTAAAATGTGACAAAAACTACTAAGAATTTTGGCTCATGACTAAGACTAAATCTAAAATAGCTGTCAAAATGAACACTGCTCCAAATCTTACGTATTAACATCTCCTGACTTGTTTTCTTAATCTGAACAAAAAAGAAAGTGTGTTAAAAACAACAATTTGTAGTTTTTACCTTTTGACAGAGCCACGCTAGCTGTTTCCATTGATTTCCAGTCTTTATGCTAAGCAAAGCTAACCATCTCCTGGCTGTAGCTTCATATTCAGTGAGCACACATATGAGTTATATCGATCTTTCCTCAGACTCTTTGCAAGAAAACAATTGGGTGCATTTCCCCAAAATGTCGGACCTTTCCTTTAAATTATATCCTGATATCAAAGCTGGATACTTAGATCTGACACTGGAAAATATCTTCTATCTCCACAAACACTATGACTGGAATTCACAGCTACAAATGTTGCTTATTGATGATCTGTTCATATGGCAACATTCTTCATTTGTAAGATGTTTGTCACTGGTGGTCATGTCTGGAAGTTTTACTGGAGAATTTTTGCATTAAACTGGGGTGTGTCTGGCCAAAGGAAAACTCCCACAGTCCAAATATATCCAACATTTCTCTGGAAAAGTCAAAACATTTTTTTTACCAGGCACCAAGTTTCCTAGTTTCATAACAACAACTGCAGCTGTGTAACAATTAAACATAAGAAGCCGTGTAGAGACTATTACTCCATTAAACAGGGAGGTGGTGGACGTGAGAGGGAAATGAAGCCATTCTAAAAACATCTGGAATTCCAAACACTGTCGGATTCAAACAACCTTATGAGAGCAGCAGGAGAACATTTTGTTCTTGGATAGAAAAACCTGCAATGTCACCGCTGAAGATCAGCTGATTATTATGACTTATGCAAGTTAGTTTTGGGAGAAACAATATTTGGCTTTGTATTTTTATATTCACAAAAATCCAAAGCATTGGATAAGATTTGAACTGGAATTCTTTGATGAGATAAAACAATCAGATGCATTGTTAAAGTTACTGAAGTGACTCACTGAGGTGAAAGAGTTCAGTCAGCATCTAGTTTAGATTTAATGCCGCGGTTCTCAACCTATCAGGCTCCGTGTAACTGGGGGATTCACCATGTTTTTAAGTTTTCTTCACTAACAAAGGAACACAGTTATGGTTGTCTTGAACTGCATGAATACCCCACAAATGGGAAGTGGGAATAGGTAACTAAGCGTCCTTTTAATGGTGCCAATGTGCCATTGACCTTTTGCTAAGCCACGCCCCTTTGTGATGATCAAGCTGTTGCAGTAAGCATGGAGCCCACACTGAAACTAACTGCACTCCCTGAAGAAATATGATCATATTTTTGGACAAATGAAAGAGTGATTCCAGAGAGAAGCAGACAGAGGGGTCTACAGTCTGTGTTTGAAGGATATATCCAGGATGTCACTCAGCAGCAACAACAGGTTAAAAAGACAAAGATAGTTAGGAGCTAAAGCCGAACTATAGGCTACAGATCACAGTGTAAAAGTGAACCACCATATCACTGCTGATCGCCACACAAGACAGTGAATATAAAGGGAAACTATGCTGATATTGAACCAGCTGTGTGGCATTGCAGTGTGTGCAGATGAATGGTGTTTGGCTTTGCCTCCATGCTGCTGCCAGCACCTGGACCTCTACCGCTGGATGGGTAGGGATCTCAAGGGGAGGTCAAACAACGTTCATCTGCGCACAATGCGATGACACACAGCTGGTTGAATATCACAAAGTTTCCCTGCTTCCCTTCACTGGTTCCTGTACAGTAGGGTTGGTCTTTGTTTCACTGTTATAATCATTAAAAAGCAAAAGCAGCATGTGTATACATTCAGTAGGCTATATCTTCAGTAGCTAGCTAGCTAACCCTACACTTTTCAGGGTTTGATTTTGGTTTTGGAACAGGGAAGAAACGTATATCTTTTTCCAACCTCTCCAGGTAACGAGTATCATTAATACACGACGTGCCCCAGACACAACATTTAGCTCCAAATCCACAAAACCAGCCTGAAAATGAAGGAAATCTGAAACGATTGCATTAGAGTCAATGGAGCACAGCTGTGTTGTTGTTGGACTCTGGTCTGAGCCAGCCAGATGTTACGTTATGATTGGCCAGTCTGCAATGGGGTCAGTTACTCAGAGCATTTTGCTAAGAAGCAACTCAACAAAATAGTTTACATGAGTAACAAATCCATTTTTTCAGAATTTACCAGGCTTCATGCACTTTTCTCCAAGTGCTCTCCTTTTTTGTCCTGTCTCTGTAAATACTGACGTTGGGTTGTAGAGCTCTTGGTGCCCACAGACAGCAAGAATAAGTTTGCCCTCCATTTCTGATTGTCAGTGACATCAGAGTCTTCACTAGGTCTCAACACTGATAGGCTTTCACCTCAGAGCATCACAGGAATTTTTCACTCGGCGCGAGTTTGCATCTATTCCCAACAACTATTAAAATGAAATCAGCAATGCTGGCTTATCTCCTTCACTAACACTTTGTTGCCACAAATCCACCACACTACAATACTACAGTTTCACTTTTACCAACCCTCTATTGTTACTGCTGCAACAACAACTGTGGAAATGATCTGAATTTACTTCTCACTGTGCTCATGTATTTATTTGGTTTCACTAGCCATGAGACCTGGCAGGTTGTGGCCAGCTCTCCCGATGGATCACCCTTTAAACAAACTGGTCCAACCGGCCTCCACCTGTGTAGAGCAGAGCACCCAGTGGAGCGCCTGTTCTCAGAGCTGTGGGGCTGGAGTCTCCACCCGGGTTTCTAACCAGAACCCAGCCTGCAAGCTGCAAATGGAAACTCGACTTTGTAAAGTGCGGCCATGCCACACAGTTCAGCCCGCCGCAAGGAAACCCATGGTGAGCGCCTGTTTATTTCTGCTGCCTGTATGTTGTCAGGGCCTGTCTCTTTATTATCCCACTGGGTTCCATTGACGGCTTTTAAAAAGTCATTTCACCCAAAACGCAAAGAATCGGCTTGTTTAATGTGCTGAGTTTGGAGTTGATTATCTCTGAAACCTTTATGGTCATTACAATACAATAAAAGGAGACAGAATTTCTCATAAAGAAATATCAAAAAACCTGAGCAGTCGTCTGCATGGCTAGATACAACAGAAGGTGAGTAAAAATGTGTTTATTATGATAAGTGACTTTTACAAAGATCTCATGGCAGACCTGCCGTGCACAACCAAATTTAAAATCAAAGGTACCCTGTGGAGTTCTGTTGTAAGTATTGTAAGTTTTTGTTTTCCTAGTGGGGACGGCAGGGACGCTGTAAAGCCAGCTACATGTCACCGGGCCCCATTCGGCTCATTCACCAAGGCTGCTACAGCACTCGTGCCTACCATCTGCGGTACTGCGGACAGTGCACTGACTCCCGCTGCTGCACGCCTTATCAAACCACCACCGCTGAGGTGACCTTCCACTGTCCCTCCGGCAGACTGATACAGCGACCTGTGATGATGATCCACTCCTGTGTCTGTCATAACAACTGCCCCTACGCACCTTACAGTAACCCGGCTCTGTGGGGATTCAGACCCTGAGCTGAGATCGACCTCTGTGAGCACAGATGCACCCAGAACAGTAAGACTTCACTGGTTCGGCTCACCGGGTGGATACACGACTAATTGTAGATAAAAACTGTGATTGAGTCGGGATGAACGTCGATTTTCACACATGTAGAATCTCAATCTGCACTTATTCACAACGTCCTTTTTGCTTCCACACCTTGGGAGGCCATTATACTGGTGACACATAAGTAAAAGAGTGCTTCACAGAAAGAAGAAAATGCAAAGGAATACAGGAGACAGATAAGTTAAAACAAGAGGAAGTAAATGTATAACCCACAAAGTCAAAGTTACAGAATCATAAGTGGGTTTTAAGAAAATTATGCACTGATTTGCCTTCTCTGAGACTCTTATTTCTAGAGGTCAGAGGGCACAACAACTCATTAAGTACAAATCAAGTGGCAACCTCTGGGGCAAAAAAAAAAATGTAGCCAAGTGCCAAAAACTGCAGTTCCTCAAATGGCCACATGAGTCCACTCCCATTGTAGATCCCGTTGTTAAAGTGCCCAACTATATGCACAACGTGAATTTCCCAAGTCGGACATGCTCCTGGATCAACATCCCACATCTTACTCTTACTCCAAGACCAACATTGCAATCAATTACACCCGCATACAATTGAACAAAAACCTTGTGAGTGACTGCAGGGTTAGAGAGTTAGCTTGCTAACTAGGTAGGCTATGCTAACGAGCAAACTTGCCAATAGGCTAAAATATTGTTCATCAACATCAAGAGAAATGATAATGTCATTTTGTAGTTGCAAAGACCTGTGAAGGACAGATGTCCCTCCTTTTTAATGCCCTATTTGAAAGTATTTTTTTGCAAGATTGCAAGCTAACTCTAACCCTGCAGTAGCTCACAAGGTTTTTGTTCAGTGCTGCTGAGGATTATGTTTAATTGTATTATCTTCAATTCGGAAAACTAGCTTAGCTCCGAAGAAGCACAAAGGAATATTGAAAGAAGCCCAGGAGTAGCACACTGATGATGTCAGAGGGCTGTGATTGGTTGATTCCAATGTTGGTCCTGGAATGCGATGCATGCGAGCATTTCCTACTTGGCAAAATCACATCATGCCAAACTATATAGCAGAAATAAACATGTTTACATCCTGGTACTGTGAGTCAGATCCCCTCCTCGCTCCTCCACAGCTCCGCCCTCACCGTCAAATATGGTCTCTTCTGGTTCCAAGAAACCAAGACGGCAACGGCCAAAATGCCAAACTTTAGGCTTCAAAACGGGAGTCCACAAACAAATGGATGACGTCATGGTGGTTATGTCCACTATGTTGATACAGTTTATGTTACAGAGGTGCCTGAGTATGTAATGCCTTGTATGGCAAAGTGACAGGGAGCCAGTAGAGAGAAACTAAAGTTGGCATCATTTGTGATCTATATTAATTTTGGTGAAAAGAGTTCTGGACGGTTTTCAGTCAAGATAGAGAAAACTTGATTACAGTGACGATGGTATTGGTGACTTTTTCCAAACCTTAAGGTTAAAGTTATGGTCTCAATGTTGGAATGTTTCTTAGTTGGAAAAAGCAGAACTGAACTTGTAGTATGTAGCTCAAAATTTAGCTTGAGGTTAGAGGTAATCCCAAGATTTTTTTCACACTAGGTTAAAAATATTTTGGGCAAGTGGGACAGATATCTTAGTACTTATGCATTATCATAACTGGACCAAGAAAAGAATTTATTGTAATTTAAATCATTTTTTCACTGAAAAAAACCTCTAAGATTTGAATTGAGGACTGTTGGCCATAATGTTTATGTGGTCATAAAGATATTTTTAAAGAGCAAATTTCAATGACTTTAATATGTTGATTTGACACATAATGACCCCAGCCTTTGTGTTGACAGATATTTGATTTCTGACGTGAACAATGCAACTTTAAACTTGTACAGTTATGTTTGTGTGTTTGTAGTCACATGACTTTGCACTTATTTCTGTATTTTCTGTTTTGTTGTAAATAATTCTGGACAGATGTCTCTTTATGTACAGTGAAAAAATGTCTCAATATTTTACACCTCTTGCATTTTTACTCTCAATTTTTGAAATATATTTTGTCATATTATAGTGTATACATTTATATAGTCATGTTGTAAATACTGCAGCTTTTACCAATGTTTTCTTTCATCATTCATACATAAGTATTGTACAGTACACTTCTTCCTTTTACTGATGAGCTTTTAAAAAGTTGTTTGAAGTACAGCAGATGTCATTTTTGGTATTTCTTATGAAAAGTGAAGCCAAATTTATGTATTGCAGCGCGATGGTGCAGTGGTTAGCACCCAGGGTGGAGAGTTCAAACCCAGGGTGGGGGAGCTCTTCTGTGTGGAGTTTGCATGTTCTCCCCATGTCAGTGTGGGTTTTCTCCAGGTACTCCAGCTTCCTCCCACAGTCCAAAGACATGCAGGTTAATTGGTGACTCTAAATTGTCCGTAGGTGTGAATGTGAGTGTGAATGGTTGTCTGTCTCTATGTGTCAGCCCTGTGATAGTCTGGTGACCTGTCCAGGGTGAACCCTGCCTCTTGCCCAATGTCAGCTGGGATAGGCTCCAGCCCATGTCACCCTCAACAGGATAAGTGGTTATGGAAAATGAATGAATTAACATTTATACAGTCATGTTGTAAATACCATACGTAGCTTTTACCAACATTTCACTTCATCATTCATAGGTAAGTTTTGTACAGTACACTTCTTCTTTTTGCTTACGAGCTGTTAAAAAGTTGTTTGAAGTACAACATCAGTCATTTTTGGTATTTTTATGAAAAATGAAGCCAAATTTATGACTGGTATTACCAATAATTTTTTGGTTAATGTCTTCTTTACAACTCTGCACACAAGCACACACTGTGCCTCAGTCAGACCAGATGACTATGTGAGACATCTTGACATCTAGTGGACAAAAGAATCTACTGCTGAGGATGAAGGCAAGGCAATAGCTGTACCAAAGACCCAAGAGGATATTATTTAAGATCAAGCTCAAAATTAGAATTTATTGTCCCACAGAGTGGGAGTTGTGTGCCCTGCACCCACACTGCAGCCATATGAATACAACATAGTACATAGACAAATCAACATTATACCCAATGTAGCAACAGGAAACACAAAAAGATAAATAACAACTAAAAATACCTCTATAAAAATGCATATCAGCAAATCGTCATAATCCAATGCCAGATCTGACTTTATCTGTCATTGTTTAACAGTTTTATAGGCAGAGGTGTGAATGACTTTTAAAATCTTCAGGCTGCAACGAGGCACTCTAAATCCTACCAGAGGGCAACAGCACGTACTCTGAATGCAGAACATGCGAGGCGTCATTGGTGATCTTATTGTCTTGACTGAGAGTCGCCTGTTCAAAAATAGTCTGTATGGAAATGTGCTCGTTGACACCTATTATTTTCCACATGGTGTGGATCAATTGTTTGTTTTTCAACTGCACAAAGAGGTTACCGAACCAAGCTGTGATTCTGTACCTGATCAGGCTCTGTAAGACTGCCTGATCAAAAAATTATCAGAAATTTTTGATCAAAACCATGGACACTCAGATGACATAAAAAATGCATCCGTTGTCGTAATCTGCTACACAGATTGTCAACATGTGTGTTCCAGGTTAGCATGTCGTCAACAAAGACACTGAGATATTTATATGAGACCTGTGTGATGGATTGGTTGTGGATGACCACTGCCGTGTGGTCGCCGAATGCCTTTGAGTCAAACACAATGTCTTCTGTCTTGTCAACTTTACAGTACTATACAATACAAGAGGATTATATGAAACAGTTCCTGTAATAGTAGTAGCACATATATTATCAGTTGATACCATCAGCTCACTGTTGAGCTGCTGCAAGAGAAAGTCTGTAACCACAGGATTAGGCAAACCTCTACTGTGAGGCCTCACATAACCACATGCAGACCTCTAACCGTACTCTGAGCTGTACTTGAACTCAGCATGAATTCACTTTAGATGACTTTGATTTTATCTTTTCAGTGTTATTTCCTGAATGCTGACAGGTGCAGCATCTCAAACGTGGTACATAGAGGCTGTGCTGCAACACAGGAAGTGTTCTCTGAACCTCCCGTGGTGGCATTCTTTTTCTTTTGTATCTCACACTCACTGAGAGAAGGAACTGTACCAACTGCTGTCCAGAAGACAATGAATAAAACATCTTGTCCTCGTGTCAGCTTTGACTTTACAGGCAGATTTCTGCCTCCTGTTTACATCATAGTCTTCATCGTTGGTCTGGTAGCTAACGGATGGGGACTGAAGTCTTTGCTACAGAAATGGAAGAAACTGGGTAACATCAATGTTTTTGTTTTCAACCTTGGACTTGCTGATATTTTGTACCTGCTCACAGTCCCATTTTTGGTGGTGTACTACTTTATGAAGAGTAAATGGATCTTTGGAGACGCATTCTGCAAGATCACAAGATTCTGCTTCAACCTGAATCTATATGGCAGCATCGGGTTCCTTACTTGTATAAGTGTGTACAGGTACCTGGCCATTGTCCATCCAATGAGAGTGATGGGAAGAATAACTGTCGCCCACTCTGTGGTGATCTCAGTCATGGTTTGGCTGTTGGTGAGTGTTCAAAGCCTTCCAGACATGTTCTACATCAAAAGATACAGCAAGCCATATGGAAACAACACTGAGAAATGTTTCGATACCACGGATAACATCTATGTTGAGAGTTACCTGAAATACACCCTTGGATGGACACTCACTGGGTTTTGTATCCCATTCCTCATCACCCTGGGCTGCTATGGACATGTGATTGTTTTTCTCTGCGGCACAAATACCACTGACAAGGTACTGAAACAGAGATGCTTGAAGTTGCTGTGCATCTTGATTCTTCTCTTCTCTGTTTGTTACATCCCTTATCATGTTTTCAAGAACCTCAACCTCTGGTCAAGAGTTCTGTCCAACCAGAAGATATGTGCTGAATGGTCCAATGGAGTCTACATTGCTCGTCAGATAAGCCGCGGCCTTGTGTGTCTGAACAGTGCTCTCAACCCTCTGGTTTACCTCCATGGTAATGAAGATATTCCTGCTCAGCTCAGACAGCTGCTCCAACAAGCTTGTCCGATGTTCAGACGTCCATCTCCAACAAACTCTGGTAATGCACCCGTTGCACAAATCACAGAGAACGTTAACACAAGACAAACATGTTGAACAGTAGGAAATGAAGATATCCCTGCTCAGCTCAGACGACTACTCCAGCAACCTCGTCAAGCTGTCATGCGGCTGCCCATCACCCCTAGTCAAGTTGGTGTGAATTGTCTGAAATGCGATTGAAATTGAACAATTGTACTGCATTATCTGCAGCTTTAACTCATTAATTGTGCCGTGTCAAGGTTTTGATAATTTGAAGATTAAATTCACTTGAACTACTGTAAAAATTCTCATTGTTCATTGTTCAGAAAGTTCTGCAGAGAGAACAGGACCATGTGTTGCGATTGTGGTCGGGAGGCTCAGTGCTATGCTTGATTTCTTTGCAGTGAAACAGGAAGTTGATGGAACAAAGGTGTAAATATAGACAGGATGCAAACTGTATGAGCTTCACTGAACACAACACACCTTTATCGGCTGCACATCAGTCAAAGAGATGCACAGGAAGCCCATAAAAGAACAACAGCAGGTTCATGTGTCTGCTTCTGTATGTCTAACTACTATCAGGCACTATGTGCCTTTTAAAAGGCACACAAGAGATACAAATAACTAGGGCCGGGACGATATGCTTTTGTCCCGATTCAATTTATATTGCGATTCTGAATAATTGAGATTTTACAAGTATTGTGATTTGATATTTCAATTATTGGAATTTTTTATTTCCTTACAAAAAAACAAAAGTTGAAATCAATTCTAGTAGCGACTACTGCATACCATGAGTCATATTTCCTAAAAAAAGAAACAATGCACATCATGTCAGTCAGTCGATCTGAAATTTATTTGAATGGAGAGTGGTGCACCACCTTTACCATACAGAAAAAACATTCTCCTTATCCACCCCCATCTTTAGGTAAACTGCTACGTTTAGCTGCGTCTGTTCATTAAACTAGAACCATAAATAAAAAATCAGTCAAAAAGTAACTGAAATCTCCACCCAGCACAAATATGGGCCATAAATACATAAATATACATGAGCATGAACTTCAACAATCAATTCAACAATATATACTTATAGTAAGTAGCCTATATTTAGCTGTTCCTTGCCATGCTCACTGAGCTAGTGCTGTAAGAAAATGATAAAATTAAATGCTTGGTACCTCTGAGAAGAGAATGTGCAAATGAAATTGAACTGTTTTTTTCAAAAGGCTGGACTGCAGATGAAACATTAGTGAACAAAACAGTACAAGTAAACTGACAACAGCTACTTTTCAGTGCTGTGAAGTGTCAAGGTTCTCAGAAACAAGAGCTGGTGAACATGCTCTGTTGTTAGGCTGCTCTACTGATAGCCAACAGTGCTTTTTAAGTAGTGACAACAGCTACTGTTCATCATCCTGTTCATGAAACTAGTGCTTGGGAGTGTCAAGGTTTTTGTGCAGAAACAAGAGCTGCTCAACATGCTCTGTTGTTAGGCTGCTCCGTTGAGCAGTGACAATGTCCCCCGCTGTAGAGAACACATGTTCAGCAGAGACGCTTGTCCCTGGTACACACAGGTATCGCTTTGCTAACTTTGCCAGGAGAGGGTACTCACAGTGATGCTTTTTCCACCAGCCTAATGGATTTTCAGACAGTGGCAAAGGAGCAGCTGTATTGTAATCATTCACCTCCTTCTCGGCAATATCAAAAGCGGACTTCTCTGGTGGTGCTGGTGTCTGACTGGCATCTCCAAAAGTGCTGCCAAGCAGTTCAGCCAGAGCACAGGACTCTCTTCTTTTAGCAGGTGGGGAGCCCTGGGGATCTCTGTCTCCTGCAGTCTTCTCAGGTACCACATCTGGTGCAGGGGCACGATCATCAGAATCCTCCTGGTGCGGCCTCTCTTCCTCCTGTCGCTATATCAAAGCACAGTGGAACAAAGGAATTAGCACTTTCTTTGACAGCATTATACTGATTTTAGATTCTATTTAAAAAACAACAACAACTAAATAAATAAATGTTGCCGTCGCATAAAAAATAAATAGAAAAATAGAGAGAGAATCGATATTTAGAATGTCCGAGGAAAAAACCTGATTAATTTAAAAATCGATTTTTTTTCCCC